CCCGCTGCGGGGGACCTCGGGGCGCGCTGGGCCGCGGGGACAGCGGGCCGCGGGACACCTGCCATCCGCCCCGGCCAGGAGGAGGTCCTCAGGTCCTCAGCAGCGGCTGGTGCAGTGTGTACACGAGTGTGTGCCCACACCGGGGCCTGGGGGGTGAGCCCAGTGTCATGATTGGATCGGCCCTGGGGAGGTGCAGGCTTCACTTAGGTCTCGGGGAATCTGGAAGCTGCTGTGTGGGGACCCGTGTGGGGACTGGTGTGGGGACCCGTGTGGGGACTTGTGTGGAGGGCAAGGAGGGACGCAGGGCCCTGAACACTGCAGGGTGCAGGGCAGAGCCTCCGGCCAGGAGCTCCCAGAGGAGACCCGAGGCTGAAGAGGCTGAAGCGGGGAGGGAGGAGGAAGAGAGGGGAGGAGGGCTGGGAGGGAGGGAGGAAAGGGAGGAAGGAGGAGAAGGTGCTGGCAGCCCTCGGCAGCCAGAAGAGGCAGAGGAAAGCAAGGCACCATATAAGGAATGGGGCTCCGGAAGCTGAGCTTCCCGCAGAAGGGAGGCCCCTTCCGCTTCCCTGGCAACCGCAGTGGTGCAGGGGGGGGAGGGGGGGAAGGATGCCCTTCTGGACCTCTGAGGCTGGCTGGGCCTGGGTCCAGTCTCCATCCTCTGGTGCTCCCTGGGGGACCGGTGGGTGACACACCACCACCCACTGCAGAGGCCCACAGACAGCATGACAGCAGGGACACGGGTCCCCTCTGCCAACGCCCTCTCCCTCTGGCTGGCCACGGGTGTTGTACACTCATAGTACCCCACTCGCAGCCATATATACCTATGCCCCCACTCACTCTGCACACTCATGCCCACTCTGGCTTGTTCAGTCATCCTGGCGCCCTCGCTCCCTGCCCACCCCTCGGAGCCCTCCTGGTGCTCTGGAGGAGCCTGGGTCCTCTCGGGGCCAGCCTGTCTCCGACGCTACCCCTGGGCTTCCACCCCTGGGGGAAATGTCTTTCTGGCAAAAAGAAACTCCCCAGAAAGGGCTTTCTTGCCATTTCTAATTAAAGGAGAGTGGGCGGACACAGAAGGGAGGGCCGAGGGGCACCCTTGGGGAGGGGAGCCAGGCAGAGAAGCTACTAGAACAGAGACCAACAGGAGCTTTCCCATGGAGGAATCCCTGGCACCAGAGGCTGCCGGCTGTGTCTGAACCCTGAGATGCCTGGCTATCACCAAATGTCTATGCCGTGGGGTCCAGCTGATGAGCCTGTGCGCCGCAGAGGAGCCAGCCCCAGTGGTTTACAGGCCAGCCCTAGGTTCCTGGAGCCCACTCGCAGGACAGGCCCTCTGGCCGCTGCCCGCAAGCATGGGAGGCTGTGGGGATGAGTAGGCAAAGGCTGGAGCCGGTGTGGGGCGGTGGACTGGACAGAGGCCAGCATCTCACCTCTGTTGGGGAGCTAGACCTGGCCAGTTGAGACCCTAACCAGCCGGCAGGGCAAGCGCACCTTAAACCTGACCCCATGGTGAGGCCCCAAGCCCCCAGCCTGCCACAGCCTGGGCATGGCGGACCCCTCCTCACCCCTGTCCCAGCTCCCCAGCTGAAAAGCAGAATGAAGGTCGATCCAGCCGGAGGGAAGGGCAGAGAGCACAGGCGGGGGATGGTGGCTGACACACAGATCCCGCCTGCCTTCCGCCCTGCAGGGTCTTGCAGGGCCTGGTGACAGGTGACAGGCCACAGCCACTGCTGCAGCTTTGGGAACATTTAATCGCTGCCCAATTATCGCCCCAGAAGTCCTCAGCAACCCCCGCAATGGAGCCTGGGGCTCTATTCTTCCACCTCTGGAAAAGAGGCCGGGCTGGCTCCCCCTCCCATCAGCAGGGGGGGGGGAGGACTGTGCTCCTCCTGCTCCCCCGCCCCGCCCCCGCCCTCCTCCAGCCTCAGGCAGGTTTAGAGGGGCTAATCCAGGCTGGGGGCTGCAACAGAGCAGAGGGGACCACTGCCCGTTTCTTGAAGCCTGGCTGCACAAGAGGGGCTGTAGCGGGGAGGGGGTAGGCCAGGGTGAGCATGGGGTCCGTGCAGCCTTGGACTCAAGCAGCTCCCCCCATCTGGCCTCTGCCCCATGGCTCCAGTCTCCCAGTCCCCAAGTCCCCAGGTTTTAGGCAGCTTTTGGAATGTCAGGAGCCCCAAAGCCAGAGGGCCCCCCCCCCGTGTCCTAGCCCCAGCCCAGGCCCCTCCCCACACACACCTTGCCTCTGACAGGACTGACAACTGCGAGCCCCCACATGGGGGCTCCTATTCAGCATGCAGGGGTGGCCCTTCTCCTGCCTCTGCCTTCCATTGCAGGGACACAGCTGTCCCTGCCTCTCTCCAAGGGAGGGGTCCCCCTAGTGGGTCCTCAGTGGGGCACAGCCCCCACACCCATCTTTGTGCTCTGCCAGCCACTGGGCATATTTTCACAGGCTTGGTTCTGACCAGTCCGGCCTGCTCCTATCCTAGCTCATCCGGTTCTCCCTGGTGACCTTCCAGGAGGGGCAGTCAGCACAGCTCAGCAGAGAGGCTGCTGCAATGTCTCACACACACACACATACACACACTTGCATTCATGTGCACACACTATGCACCTACGCACCCACAAACAGGTGTGCATACAATGCACAAGCGTGTCTGTGCACCCATGATGCACATGTGTATGCACACATGCACAAACACACTGAGCACTTGTTCCACAGCCCCCGGGGCCCCTTGGGTCTAGGCTGAGCTGGACTGGGCTGGCATCCAGATGCCAGGGCAGAGGGGAGGGGCAGTGATCTGGCCCCTTCCGCTCTCACCTGCTGAGGCCCTGCCATCTTTGAGGGTACACGGGAAGGGGGTGTAGGCTTCCTGGCCACTGCTGTGGCTGAGCTGTAGGGTTCTTGCCTGGGACCCCCTCAGTCCCCGCTCCTTGACCAGCTCTCCTGGTGGCCAGCTTCCTGCCCACTCCCTTTGCACTGGATGTCCTTTGCTGTCCGGGTGCAGGGGTTGCAGCCACACAGCCAGAGACTCAGTCCCTGCTGGCCATGACCCACAGTGACCCACAGCCTGCTCCCCACGCGGGGCTTCCCAAGTGCCCTCCTGGGCCTGTGGCCGGCAGAGCAAGGGGCTGAAGAAGGACAAAAGGGTGGGCCGCTCCAGCGCTGCTTCAGTCAGGAGTGAGTGGCAGCTGCTCACTGGAGCCTGCTCTTCTCTTGTGTCCCAGGGAGTGAGCAGGCCAGGGCCAGGCTGGGACTGCAGGGAGCCACCTGGAAGAGCTGAGGCAGGGCTGTCCTGCTGGCCGCCTTGCATGGGGTCAAGTGTCTAGGACTGTGTCTGGGGAGGAGGGGGGTAGGGCAAGCTCTGATGCCTCAGGAGAGGGCTCGAGGGGGTTCCTCTCCGACAAGAGGTGAGGCACTACAGAAGGGGCGGGGGACACCTGACCTGTCCACCCACCCCACACAGAGCCGCCTCAGGCCCCCACTGCAGTGCTGGCTAAGATGGGGAAGGACAGCAGGGGAGAAAGAGTCCAGAAGCTGTGAACCGAGGATAGGGACAGGGGGAACACAGAGGGTTGGACGGCAAGACCAAAGAGGATGAAGGAGACCGTGAGGACAAGGAGGAGGCAGAGAAAGATGGAGAAGCAGAGCTGCAGCTGCCCCAGGTTTCTCAGAAAGTCATCCTTGCCCACTTTCCACAGGGGGGTCTTGAGAGGGGAGGGACCTGCCCAGGCTGCGGACCCAGCAGCCAGACTGAGCTTCAGGGTGGGGTGGGGAGGCGGGGTGGTGTGAGAGAGGCAGGGTGCTGGACCTGGAGGGGCTCCCAGCTCCCTCCCCTGTAGCCACACCCCTCCCCTAGCGGCAGGAACATTTTCTCCCTCCCTCCCCCGTTCCTTTCTTTCCTTCCTTCCTTCCTTCCCCTCCTGGCTGTGTGCTCTGTGCTGTATCCTTGTCCCCAGAACAGGCAGCCTGTGCATTTGGAGGGGGGGGCACCAGACCCTCCTCCCTCCCCCACCTCCTTCCTGCCTCCTCCCTGCAGCTTCCACAGCTCCCGTCCAGCCTCCAAGGGAAGCTTTGTATTTTTCCATGGATCCTGCACAGCCTGTTACCCAGCGAACCCCACACCCCCTTGCGGCCCTGAGGCACAAGAAGCCCAGACCATGTCCATCTCACCAGGGTCAAGGACCCACAGGGTTGGGGGCCCAGGGAGTATGAGAGTCCATCTCGAGGGTCATCTGTTCCTCACCAATGCCACCTCCTAGCCGTTATTCAGAAGGGGAAACTGAGAGGGTCCACAACTTGCCTGTCACCAGCAAGGAAGGCCAGGGTGCTGGTAGAGGAGTGCAGGGTGTCTGGGAAGACCTGTGGACATGTTCCCACCCTGCATGGCTGTGGGTAACTCAGCCACAGCCCCTTCCCTGGCCTTAGTTTCTCCATGGTGGTCCTCACTCACTTCTGCTCACTGCCTGACCACACCCTCTGCATCCCACCTGCACCCAGGTGGCCCCTGCCTGGGCGGAGATGCTTGGGGCTGTGAGCATGGGGGGGGGTGAGGAGGGGGCGGGGACTGGTGGAGGCCATCGCTGTCACAGGCAGGCTGCCAGCCAAGAGCCTGGAGTGGTCCTGGGGCACGGGGACCTGAGGGAGGTATGGGGACAGGGAAGGGTGGGCAGGGTCTTGGGGGTGACTGTGTTCCACTGGGTGAGACACCCCAGCCATGGGGAGAAGGCTGGGTGTGAGGGCTGCTGTGGGGCGGTGAGGTTGGGGGGTGTCCCCAGATGCCTGTGTCCAGGGGCCAGTGCGGAGCTGAAGAGCATCAGGCATCGTGGGGAGGGGAGGGGTGTGAGGACGGCTTGCCAAGACAGAGCTGGAGCCCCAGGGCCTGGCCCCATCTCTGCCCCACTGGGACCCTAGCCAGGAGAAGCGCCCCAGCAGCCTCCCAGGACTCCCACCCTGGCAGGATCGCGCGGCGGGAGCCCGGGGCGGGGGGCGGGGGGAGGGCTGGCAGGACTGGGGGGTTTCGCTGCCAGATGGCCGGCGCAGACGCCCCCGGAACAGCAGGTTCTGGCCGCCCGTGCCAGGGGTGGGGTGGAGTCCAGGACGTCCCGCCCCCAGCCCCCGGCCCCCACCGCCACGGCTGCCTCTCCTGCCATTCTTGGCAACTCATTTAAATGTCTCAGCGCCAGCCCGGCAGCCTGCTCACTTCCGGAGCCATAAAAGGAGACAGGCTGAGAATAGCTCAGCCCTGACGCGGCCAGGAGCTCCACGCAGGCAGATCCGCAGCACCGCCCAGAGCCTGCCAGCGCCACCCCCCCCCACCTCGGGCCTGTCCCCACCCTAACAGAAGTGGGCAACCAGAGGCCTGGGCAGAAAGGCCAGAGGACAGGCACCTTCCAGGCCTCAGCTGCTGTGTGACTGCGGCCGATCCTGTCCTTGGCACCCATCCACGTTCGTCCCAAGCTGCTGAACCCTGGGAGAGACTGACCTGCAGGGTGTGGGGACGCTGCCCCTCCCTGCTCAGAGCCTCTGCCCTGCACATCTCCTGGGTTCTGCCACAGACTGAGGAACATGGGGTCTGCGCTGGGTGTGACAAAGGTCAGCACAAGTGTGCCAGGTTGGCACACTCCTCTTCCCCCCCTCCACTGTTTGTGGGTCACCTATAGGGTGGGAGAGGAGGCACAGAGGCCACAGGAATGGAGCCACAGGCCCAGAAGGCCCCATGTGGGCTTCAAGGCCCAGGAAGATGTCCTGGAGGAGGGTCTGGTGGGGCTGCTGAGGAGGGCATATGCCAATCCACAGGAAAAGCCAATTGTATCTCCTCCTGTGTCTCCCCCACCTCCATCCCCACACCAGTCCCCCTGTGCCATGGCCACCTGAGCTGAGGCCTTGGGTTCCAACCCAGGTGTCCTGTGGCTGTCATCTGCCATGATGCTCCAGGCTTCTTGGAGGACACCTCCCTGCCCACTGTGTCCACTCAGTTCTGGTGCCACGCCTGAGCCGTGATCCCCTCCCTCACCCAGAGGACGCAAGCTTCGACCCGTGACCGCCAGGCTTGAGCCACCTGGGTCCCCAGGTCCTAGCCCAACCACCACAGGGGCCCAGGGTGTCTTGGTGGTATCTGTCCTGGGGTGGATTGGTCAACCCCCTTCCTCCCCTGCAGGACCTCCCTCCTCCCCCTCAGGGCTCCCTCATCCTGGGTCCTTCTTCTGTCCTCACAGGGCGGAGCTAGATGGAGGCCTGGAGGTCACAGGGTGAGCCCAGAGCAGCTTAATAATGTCCCAGGGGGTGGTGCTCTTCTGGAGAAAAGGCTATGGTTAGCGTCATGCTGGACCCAGTGCCCACACCATCATGACCAGTGCCCTCCTAGCTGCCAGCCCCCCTCCCTCAACGGCCACCGCTGTGATCACGGTCACCACGACAATCACCCTCAGCCAGCTCTCCACAACCCTGTATCCTCCTGGCCACAGTGAAGGCCTCCGAGGAGCACAGGTCCCAACTGAGAACCTGGTGGAGCTCTGGAGGGCACCCTGCCCTGGCTCCATGGGCAGCTCCTGGACACACAGCTGGGCATGAAGGGCTGGACAGTGGCTGGGCGTGGGGACTGGACCACGGCTGGGCATGGAGGACTGGACAGCAGCTGGGCGTGGAGGACTGGACCACAGCTGGGTGTGGAGGAAGTGGTCATGTTCAGCCTCACCCTGGCAGGAGAAAGCACAGCCCTGCTTCTGCACCAAGCTGGGAGGACATTTTGTCACGGAGGAAGACGCTTCTCTCAGGAGCGGCCTCACAAAAGGTGCCGGTGAACTTTGAAGCTTTTCTGGCAACATCTGTGCAGTGTTCTGGGCGTCTGCTCTTTGATCCTTCCCCGCCTGCCCCCTCCCCCCCCCCAGTGAACAGCTCAACAGCAAGAAAGAAGCTGGCAGCGCTGCAGTCATCAGGAGCCATGCTCGCCCGAGGGACGGTTCACCAGACAGCGGCCGGGGCAGCAGGGCCTGGGAGAAACCCCGCTGGGCACAGGGCACCAGCTCTGTCATCAGGGTGTGGAGCAGGGAGGGGCACATGGGGCTGGGACCACCTCGTTCCTGGGGTCACTTCTGTCTGCCAACAGCTGCCCCAGGCCCCCATGTGTGGGGACCCGTGACCCAGGGTACCCCCCACCCTGGACTCTTGTCCCTGACACACACCCCTGGCCAGCTGTCCAGCCATGAAGTTCCTTTCCATCTTGCCTGAGTGGCTGGCTCTGGGGAAATGCCCCATGAACGTGGGGAGTCATTTGCTGCCTCCTCCGGAGGCGGTGCAGGTGTCAGGTGCCCGCACTCCCAAGCCCCCACCAGAGCCTCGGTGGCAGATGCCTGCCTCCTTCCAGGATGCTCGCCCTGGCCCACGCCTGGGACCATGGGTGAGCCCCAGACGCTGACCCAGGGCCGCTCCAGCCTCCTGGCTCTCTGATTGGCAAGGGAGCCCGAGAAGGTGGGGCAGCAGGTGGGCAGCAGGTGGGCAGCAGGCGGCGGCAGCCCCACCTCGTGAGGTCCATGCTTCCTAAGCTGCCCAGGGATGCTTCTTTGTAGTTCATGTTTCCAATTAAAAAGAATTAGTCAGTAGAGTGACACGTCTATGGGGAGTGCCAAGTGACACTGTAGCCCTACTTTATTAATAAAGAAGAGGGGGACAGATTCCCACGCTGCTGGGATCTAGGGCGGCACCACAGTCTCCATGCACGATGGCTTAGAAGCCAAGCTTTCCTAAATTAACTAATTCTTCATTGGACTTTTCTCTGGCTCCTTCTCTTTCTCCTCCCCTCCCACCTTCTCCTTTTAAAAAAAAAATCTTTGTTGGGCCAGGCTCCCCCCCCCAAAAAAAAACTAGCACTGTGTGTGATCACAGTGTGTGAGCACTGGGTATGATCCCTGTGTATGATCACTGTGTGTGATCATGTGTGTGAGCACTGTGTATGAGCACTGTGTGTGAGCACTTTGTATGAGCACTGTGTATGAGCACTGTGTGTGAGCACTGTGTGTGAACACTGTGTATGATCCCTATGTGTGAGCACTGTGTGTGAGCACTGTGTATGATCCCTGTGTATGAGCACTGTATGTGATCACTGTGTGTGAGCACTGTGTATGAGCATTGTGTGTGATCACTGTGTGTGAGCACTGTGTGTGATCGCTGTATGTGAGCACTGTGTATGAGCATTGTGTGTGATCACTGTGTGTGAGCACTGTGTATGAGCACTGTGTATGAGCACTGTGTGTGAGCACTGTGTATGAGCAGGAGAGGTAGAACCTCTGCCTCTCCTGTCCAGGACAGAGGAGAGGGGGCCCACAGAGTCTAAGGCAGAACTGGACCCAGACCCAGGAGGGGCTGCCACACAGGCAGGCTCAGCCCTTCCCTCCCCCAGCCCTCGTAATGGGAGCATTTACCCACCATGTCTTTCCTACCCTCTCACTGGCCATCTACCTAGGGGAAGGCAGAGGACATGGTGGACACACAGGAGCAGGACGGAAGCCTCCTCCTCCACCTCTACCTCTTTCTCCTTCATCTCCATCTCCACCTCCACTTCCACCTCTATCTCTACCTCCTCCTCCTCCATCTCCATCTTCACCTCCACCTCCACCTCCATCTCCACCTCCTCCTCCACCTCCACCTCCACCTCCACCTCCATCTCCACCTCCATCTCCACCTCCATCTCCACTTCCACCTCCATCTCCACCTCCACCTCCACCTCCACCTCCACCTCCACTTCCACCTCCACCTCCACCTCCACCTCCACCTCCACCTCCACCTCCATCTCCACCTCCATCTCCACCTCCA